CCAAAGGAACTGGTGCTCGTGGTTGCTTGACATGCCCCTTCGTCTTTAGTCTGCGGGCATTGCCACTTGTTGAGGTTTTCTCAACCTAACTTCTCGCTGTGTGCTTAGGATGCCTCCCAGGCTCAACTTTCTTCTTTCTATGAGTGACTATCACCCATTTTCCTTCAGATGTGCTATCATTTTGCTGTGGTTTTGAACTTTGACCAGCAGCATACTTAACAATGAAGGGGAGTGGACGCTTCCGTTGTTTTCCATCTTCCTTTTCAGTACACAGCGGAGCGAACCGTCCGGGCGTAATCGAGACTTGATTTGAGCTCGCTTTGGCATCGGCAAGCTCAATTTTCCCATCTCTGGCCAGTGCCATTACTTTATCTTTGAAGATAAAACACTTCTCAATCGGATGACCAAGAAGACGATGATACTTGCAATAGTGTGGATCATCCACCCTTGAAGCTTCCTCGGGACGTTTCATTTCAGGCAACTCAATGAGCCTAAGTTTAAGTAGCTCATCAAACATGGGAGATACATCGGAATCCATGAAAGGATAAGTCTTCTCCTGCCTTTCTTCAATTGTCGGCCTTCTACCACCCCTTGACGGGCCAGAAAATGATCTTGACCTAGGCCTTTCAGTTGCCTTAGTGAAGACTGTCATGGGAGTAGCCTTCACATTCATCACTTCTTTCTTCTCCTGCTTTGGAAAAGGTTTGTTCCACTTTTTAACTTCTTGTTTTCCAAGTGCATTGGAAGAGCTAGGCAAGTTCAATATGTTGAGCCCTCCGCTGGCTTCGATGCTCAATTCCATGTCGTGAGCACGACTGGATAACTCCTCAAAGGACTTTGGCTTAATCCCTTGTAGGATATAGGAGAGTTCAAAGTGCATTCCTTGGATGCACATCTCAATTGCAGAACTTTGGGATATTCTTTCTTTGCAATTCAGGCATAGTTCCCTCCACCTTTCGATGTAGGTACCGGCGCGTTCACCCTTCCATTGGCGAGTAGTGGTGAGTTCCAAGAAGCTGACCGTTCTCCTTGTGCTATAGAAACGAGTTAAGAACTCACGTTCCATATCATGCCAGCTATCAATGCAGCCGGGCGCGAGGTCAGTGTACCAATCAAACGCAGTTCCCTTTAACGAACAGACAAACTGCTTTACCAACAGATCGCCATAAGTCCCTGCATCATTGCATGTCTCCACAAAGTGGGCAATGTGCTATCGGGGATTTCCTTTGCCATCGAATTGCTGGAACTTAGGAGGTTGATAGCCGTAGGGCATTTTCAATTCCTCAATTCTTTGTGTGTAGGGCTTAGCATAGGAATATGAAGGTTGGCCTCCATCCAACTTGCCTTTGATGGCCCCCATTATGTAGTCCTTCAACTGATCCACCGGTATCATGCCTTCGGTAACTGGAATAGTTTTCTCAGTTGCAGGTAAGTGGGAAGCAGCTTCTCCTACCACATGGCTAACATGAGGTGGTGGTGATTGCTGACCAACCTCTTCTTGCCCTTCAGGTTGCTTTCCTGGAGCACGGCTTCCTTGCTCCTCCATGATGCTTCCTACCCTATTATCGAGGGTGTTAAGCCGTTTCTCTTGATTTTGGAGAGCGACAGCCATTCCTTCCAGAGACCTAGCAATTCTAGCTAATTGCTCCTCTACAGACTCTGTGTTTGTCGCCATGGCAGGCATGACATTGTAGACATGCGACCACTCAGGTGCAGCCTTCCATACTGGATGTGGCAGAGTTACAGGGGAAGTGCTCCCGCTACTAGCATTTCCTTGCATAGAAGTTGGACTACCACCATCGGTAGCTCCCTTGGGAGAGGGTAGACTTCCAGCAAAAGCGATTGCCTTTGAGGCAGCAGGGGACTTGTCGAGCCTTCGAACCACCCGTCGTGCCATGGACTGAGGTTCAGGTACCCGGACCCCCAAATCCTTTGCGCGGTTCCTTGTCAGCGGACCTTGCGTTTTCTGGGTTGTGCCAGGGCTAGCTACAAGCGTAGACTTGGACTTGGTAGCTTGGGCATAGGTCCTCCTGAACATGGGATTGTTCGATGCCATTTGATGCGCAGGTAGAGGTATAGTAGTAGAGAGATGAGAGGCAGAGCTGTCCCACTGGGCGTGCCAAAATATGTAAACGCGAAAAACTTGAATTGTATATATTCAAAATTCAAAGTATCGGTTACAAGTAGTATGTATCAATCAAGAAGGGGTACAATCTCTGTATATGAGAAGTCCTCTGATTCTCTACTAGAAGTATGCCTATTAGAACTGTGCCGAATTCGGAATATGCCGAATTGGAAGTGTGCCGAGCTCAGGGTATGCTGAACTTGAAGTATGCCGAGTTCCTTGTTGGAAGTGTGCTGAGTTCAGAGTATGCTGAACTGGAAGTATGCCGAGTTCGGGAGTATGCCGAACTGGAAGTATGCCGAATTCGGGAGTGTGCCGAATTGGAGTAGTTCATTGCTAAAGGGCCTCCGGAGTTAGTAGCTTGCTCCTCAGTGAAGGGCTAATATGCAGCTTGATCTTCAAAGATGGGCTTCCGGTGTTCAAGTGGCGTGTTCCTTAGCGCAATATACGCAGTATATATAACTGCGGGCGTGTTCCAGACAATGTCCCGGCGAGATTTCGGCAGAGCTTCGATATGCAGATTTCCAGAGCTCTATTCTTTGGAAATGAAACCACTATTTATAGTGGTGAGAGTGAGGGAAAATCTCCAACCAACTCTTAATTCCTAATTTAATTTAATTATTTTAATTAAATTAAGGAATGTATCGGGACACCATCGCGTCCAGGTTCATGATCTCATCAAATCTTCAAATAATATCAAATTATTCATATTTCTCCAAAATTATATAATCCACATATAATTCTGATGGGCCAGAACCAAGTCAAACCCGTTAATTAGACAACCCAGTTCATCCAAGCAGCCTGGTCCAAATCAATTAAGCATTCCACCATTTTGGGCTGAACAATCCAACATTCAATTACATTTAATTAAGTAATTAAACTAATTAATTATTTAATGGGCCATTTAATTAACCCAATTAAATAAATATTAGTCCAATTAGCCTAATTAAAGTAATTAATTTAATGACCAATTATCCATCACGGTCCAACAATATTATTTAAAATTTTCAATGCTTACAGAGGGTTTGGCTCGTTTGTGGAGCTGGGCTCGGCTTCTTCAACAATTACAGAAAAATCTTCGTGAACAAATTCTTCATGAGGATTGGTATTCGTATCTATGAGGGGAAATGGAAAAACATCCTCAAAAAATTTCACATCGCGGGAAACAAAAAATTCTTTGGTGTCAAGATCAAACAGCTTCCAACCCTTTTTCTCAAATGGATATCCCACAAAGATGCACTTTCGACTCTTGCTAGCAAATTTATCTCCTTCTGTTTTTTGATTGTGGGCAAAGCAGAGACACCCAAAAACACGAATTGTGTTGTAAGATGGAGGACTACCAAAAAGAATTTCATAAGGAGTTTTGTTACCAAGCAACGGTGTTGGTGTCCAATTTATAAGATGTGTGGCCGCAAGAACACATTCTCCCCAAAAATAAATTGGCAAATTGGCTTGGAATCTCAAAGCTCTCGCTACATTGAGAATATGTTTATGTTTCTGCTCAACCCTACCATTTTGTTGAGGAGTTCCCACACAGGAAGTTTGAAATAGAATTCCAGTATCAGAAAAAAAAATCACGCAAGCAATTGAATTCAGTACCGTTGTCACTCTGAACGACTTTGATTGATTGAGAGAATTGTCTATCAATCATAGCCACAAAACACAAGAACATTTTAAAAACCTCAGTTTTATCCATCATTAAATAAATTCAAACTGCTCGCGAATAATCATCTATTATAGTTAAGAAATAACGTGCACCACAAGAGGATTGATGTTTGTAAGGACCCCACAAATCACAATGTATTTTCTCAAATATTCGAGATGCTCTGTTATTACTCAAAGGAAACTTATCTCTAGGTTGCTTAGCACGAAAACAAACATCACAAGCTTTATTAAAATTTCCCCACAGCAGTGCCAACAAACGGAAGTAGTTTTACCACTTTTTCAGATGGATGACCCATTCGTTGATGCCAAAGATTGACTGAACTTGTCACACCATTTACTGTAGGATGTTGCACTAAATCGATTCCCTTGAAGTAGTAAAGTCCATCCCGTCTAACACCCGTTCCAATCAGTTCCCCCGATTGGTCCTGTATAGCACACATATAAGAGTTAAAGTGGATATTGCTATGCATATCATCATTTAACTGAGAAACATAAATAAGATTGCAACTTAAAGACGGAACATAAAGGACATGATTAAGAAAAATTTTGTCCGTTAATTGAACCGAGCCTTCTCGAGTTGCAACCACTGTTTTTCCGTTGGGTAAACCAACAGCGCAATGAAATATATCTTTTGCATCAGTCATTCGAGTGGAATCACCAGTAACGTGACGAGAAGCCCCTGTGTCAATTATCCACAACCATGGATCAAATTTACCATTCAATTGATTATCAAAAATCGGTGTACCACTAATCAGCCCTGTTAATGCATGCGGCTGCTCGTCATCAGCCATTGATGAGTTTATGCGTAGATATAAACCTTAGCGACTGATACCATGTAGAATACAAATAAACAAGAAGAAGAGGAAAAACTAATATATTGTGTCTTGTGTCAACTTCAATACAAGCACTTGTATATATAGTGCTAACAAGATGATGAAAAATAAATACAAATGAGAAAACAAAGAGACACATGGAAAACCCAAGAGACACATGGGAAACCCAAGAGACATATGGAAAACTTAAGAGACACATGACTATTAATATAGATGATTAATATCATCAAATATCTCAACACAAACAAAGGTTGATTATTTTCATCATGTGAGTCCCAATGAATGTGTCTGCATACAAAATTTGTGAGAGGGAGTATAAGATGGGAGTAAGAAATGGGTCGGAGTGCATGTAGTATTTTACGTTAAACAAATACTAGTGGCACGAAATGGCTCTCTCAAATGGGAGGTCATGAGTGGATCTCCAGTGAGGCGGTATTAACTCTTTGTGTTTTAGTAAATTGAGAAAATAGTTATGAACAGATACTACATTGTAGCAGAGCTAGTAGTATTTAAAAAAAAAAATACGAATAAGACATCATTGCATTTTCTTTTTTGGTAGGTTTAAGGGGCTTGAATAGTTAAATTGAGTTTTATATATATATATATATAGTGAAAGGTTCCCGTGCGGTTGAATGCTTCCCGTGCGGATGTGTGGTGGATTAATGTGCGTGAGATTTGTACTCAATGTGCGTGAGTGTTGTGCTTAATGTGCCTGAGATTTGTACTTAATGTGCGTGAATGTGTAAAATGCAGCAGAAAATATTGATGTCAGCTTCTTCCCCATCCCCGTAGCCATTTGCCCCCTCCCTGATGATGATGATGATGCGGAGGTGAGCTATGGTGGTTAAGAATTATGGGAATAATACAACAGAAATCAACACTTAGCTGCTGTGCAAATTTTACTGTGCGTGCGTCATTTATATAAACATTCAACTGCATTGAAGGTAGCTGATAATCCAGAATCCATGGCCAAATTGAAGGAAGAAGTAACAAGAAGCTTGGGGGTTAATGTGCGTGAGTTTCTGTTCTGCTTCCTTCTGAGCTCGTAATTCTGAAATACTCACGCACATTAAGCACAAATCTCACACACATTAAACACAATACTCGGTCACATTAAGTACAAAACTCACGCATATTAACATGACGCACATTAAGTACAAATCTCAGGCACATTGAATACAAATCTCACGCACATTAAGTATAAACCTCACGCACATTAGTCCACCGCACATCCACACGGGAAGCCACAAATGCACCTGATCCCTTCCCTATATATATATATATATATATATATATATATATATATATATATATATATATATATATATATATATATATAGAATTACATTCATGTAAAAACAGGGTTTAAAATACAAACTTGTGGACATTTCTGGATCGTTGGATTTTGGATATCTAAGGTTGTGATTAGTTTTTATGATTTTGTGTGCTGTGTCCGCCTCTGTGCACTGTCTTTCATGGACATGTGCACACTGGCCCAAATACTGTGGATTCACACATACATACTACGGATGTGTGCAGACCCACATATAGGTGTGTGCACTATCGTCCACGGATGTGTGCACACCCGCATTTAGGTATGTGCATGGTATATGTCCACATGTTTGTATTTTAAGGGTGTTTGCATGTGAATGCAACCCTATATATATATATATATATATATATATATATATATATAGTTATTGGCTCAATTGTACTATTTACACAACTTAAAAAGCTTATTTGACCTTTTATGAGTAAATTTATATATACTTTCATTTTCTACTCTAAACGTGGTATGCTTTGATTGTTTAATATATTAGGTCATAATTTTTATCCCTTTTTTCCCTCAAATAAAATTTGAACACAAGTGGGGCTTTTGTTTTTTCTAAAAGGAATGATTTCTAATCTATCTCTCTCTATACATATATAGGGAAGGGTTCAGGTGCGGGGAAGGGTTCCCATGCGGTTGTGCGAAGGACGCACCTTAAGCATTAAAATGGCGCACCTTAAGTACACAAATCAGGCACCTTAAGCAAACAAACAAAACACCTTAAGAACACAAATCACGCACCTTAAGCACACAAACAAAACACCTTAAGAATACAAATCACGCCCCTTAAGAACACAACAAAGCACCTTAAGAACACAAACCACGCACTTAAGGTTTTAAAATGGTTCACCTTAAATTTCACACAACTTACACACCTTAAGCATATACAAATCACACACCTTAAGAAGGAAAACAACGCACCTTAAGAACGAAACTCACGCACCTTAACTTTCAACAACTACTTACATTAAGCACAAAACCCACACACCTTAAGCACAAAACTCACGCACCTTAAGCACAAAACCCACGCACCTTAAGCACACAAAATCAACGCACCTTAAGCACAAAACTCACGCACCTTAAGTTTCAACAACTACTCACATTAAGTACACAACTCACGCACCTTAAGCACAAAGCCCACACACCTTAAGCACAAAACTCACGCACCTTAAGCACAAAACCCACGCACCTTAAGCACACAAAATCAACGCACCTTAAGCACAAAACTCACGCACCTTAAGTTTCAACAACTACTCACATTAAGTACACAACTCACGCACCTTAAGCACAAAACTCACGCACCTTAAACACAAAACCCGCGCACCTTAAGCACAAAACTAACGCACCTTAAGCACAAAAATCACACACCTTAAATTTGACCTAGATGCAAAAATTACCAAATTGTCACCTCGTTTTTTTTTTTTTTTTTAATTTTGGTAATCCTGGACATTGATTTAATCAAAATCAATGGCTCTCCTCTCACCGCACAACCGCACCTGTGCGCACCAACCGCACCAGAACCTATATATATATATATATATATATATATATATATATATATATATATATATATATATATATATATATATATATATATATATACTAATAAGAGCCAATAAAGTTAGGCCTATAACGGGAACTATAAAATGCCCATCAAACTATTTGATGACATGAATGGTTCAAATTATTTTGATTTTAGTACTTTTTATTTTCCTATTTTACCCTCTATTATATTATTTTCTTCCCTTAAATACCCTCGCATCCGTTAGTATAAACTTTAGTAACGAAATATTCCATTAACTATTTATTATAACAAACTTACTCATTGATTTTTATAAGAAAGGTCCTAGGTTCGAACCTCATCCCAATCAGAGTTGGAATAATTGTTGAACATATACTACAAATATGTTGAGTCTATTAAAAAAATACAATATAAAATTTAAGATGAACTTTGGTCAAATAATTAGCCCGACTAAATACATAGCATTCAAAGTTGAGCTCAAGGATTACAAATAAGGAACCTTGAAAATCATTTTATTACATTTTTTTAAAAACAAATTTAGGTTTATTTTTTTTCACAATTTTTTTTAATTAATCTTCTTTTGATTATTTAGAACAAAACTCAATATTTCAATTATGCTTTTGCATTATTGGGAATGATTTAGGTGATTATGGTATCAATATTTTTTGTCTGTATTTCTATAATGGTACAGTTGTACATTACTTTACAAATATTATAATATTATTTTTTTTTTATCAGATAAAATTGTTCTTACATCATTGTAAGACCTGGTGACCTAACTACAAAGTTGTTGATCAAAAATACAACTACATTTGGATTTTAAACTGTAGGACCATTGTTGAAATAATTGACAATGTTGACACCTCGTTGGTTCAAATTGAACAAGTTTACACTTCATTCTAAGAATTTTATCAATTCATGAAAACTTCAAAAAAAAATTGTAAGTTAATTTTTATTATATCATTATAACAATATCTATTGTAACCATATATTCCGAATTATTTATCATCATCCTCTATTGACAGCAATTGTAACAATTGTCATTGACAAACTCCCAAAACAATTTGTCTCAACATGGAATGGAAAAAAAAATCAATGACTTCATTGTTGTGAATGAAAAAGTAAGTACCCACTCTATTACTCTTATTAAATTAAAATAAATTAGTACCTACAACAAAATTAATACATATGCATGCATTTCTTTAATTTAGAATTAGATGTCTACAATGCATTTATTCAAAAGAAAAAATATTCATTATCAAAAAATTAAAAAAAAAGATATAATTTCATTAGTTATATTGTCTTTATTTTCTACGATGCAAATATTCCGATCCTTACATTAAAATTCATTAATTAAATATATTCACTACATCGTCAATTGTCTTCTTTTTACACTATCTTGTAATTAAATATCAAAATTATAATAAAAAATAATAATATATATTTATTTACCAAGTATTTTATTAATACCATGAAAAAAAAAAAACAATTTGAAGCCAACATTAATACCATGGAAAAAAAATTAAAATAGTTTGAATCCAATCATATTAACTACTTAGGAAGGATTTATTAACAAAGAGGGTATTCAAATAGCCCAAGAAATTGAAGCGGGAAACTACCCCGTAATATCTATGGACTACATCACAGTTGTTATTCCCTTTAAAGGTAAATCATATTTCTTTATTAAGATGATTTAAAATGTATAAATTTTTACTACCTTATCTAATCTTATTTCTTAAATAAATTAGGAATTTCTCTATCCACAATAACTCATTCAACAATAATGATTGAATCAAAAGTACCTTGAGCAGAACAGCAAAAAGACTTGTATGTTGTTATGCTAATAATAATATGTAAATGGCAATTAAATCATTATTTTACATAGCTACATTTAGAACTCATTATTAAAAATGTCAATGTAGAGCAATAGAACATTGTTACACATTTGACGCATTGAAAAGATGTCGAGACTATAATAATGCTACAATCAATCATGCAAATCCAGAAAATGAAGAAATTTCAAAAATAGCTACCGTTACAGGATTCATTGATCCTATACGTAAAATACTTATTGTGCATCCTTTAAATATATTAGAATTAATATAAATTTACAATTCATTTTATTTTCTAGACTCAACAGTTTGGATTAAAGGCAAAATCAGCATAAACCTTGACAACAAAAACACTTTGTATATACGATGTAGCCAATATTTAAAAAAAAAACAAAAAAAAAAAGTTTATACACAAAGTGGCAAACTATTTAACTGCATGCATTATGGTGAAAATGCAGCAGTGAGTACTCCAAAGTTAGTATCAATTCAACAATATATATATATATATATATATATATATATATATATATATATATATACATATATATATATATATATATATATATATATATATATATATATATATTACAAAAAGCACACACAAAATCAAGTACTACACTCATTATTCATACTAATTCCAAAAATATGAACTTCAAATTAAAATAAACAGGTACAAAATGGATTTGAAAATTGTTGATAAAACTAGACACATTGCGGCATCAATATTCGGACTACCTGCAGAGTCATTGTTGTTACTAACAAGTAAACAAGT